GCCGTTATAAATGAATATAGTCTCCTGTGCACGAGTTTCTCAAAGATTTTGGATAGCAATGGTAAGTTTGATATTGGCCTATAGTTGTTTAAGTCTGTAGGGTCACCACCTTTATGTATTGGTGTAACCCTTGCCATCTTGAGTAGTTTCGGGAAGGTGCTAGTTTCTAGTGACTTGTTAAAAAGTAATGAAATAGCATGTGAAAGGACATGGGCCGCTCGCTTGTACAGTAATGGTGGGACATGAGACAGATTCCCTGAGTTATTTTTAAGTGACTTTATAATCTCGGTGACTTCCGTGGGCTCAGTTGGTGCAAGATAGAAGGAATTTGGGAAATTCCCATCTAGGTAGTCCCCAGCATGGGCATTGGTATGTGGGATTTTATTGGCGAGATTAGATCCTATGGTTGAGAAGAAGTCGTTTATCTTGTTAACTGTGTCAGTGGGATGTAGTGGTGTTTCATTAGGTTTAGTTAGGACAATATTCTTGTTTTTTTTCAGTTTGTGGGTCCCTAGAATCTGAGAGAGTGTTTTCCAGGTCTTTTTTTATATCTCCTCTAGTGTCTGTAAATCTACTGGAGTAGTATAGTTGTTTGGCTTTCTTTATTACTTTGGTGAGAACTGATGAATAGTGTTTAAGAATATCTTTGTGTATTAAGCCCTGTCTATATTGCTTTTCATATTGGTGTTTCTTGTCAATGGATTTCAGAATGGTGCTGGTTAGCCATGTGCAACCAAGCCGTTTGTTTGTGATCTGTTTCGTTTTTATAGGACAATGTTTGTTGTATAGTCTAAGTAATTTGCTAAGAAAAATGTCTGTCCAGTCATCAATACCATTGGCCTTGGAGAATTCTGTAGGCCAGTCAACAGTCTCTAGGTCAGCTGTGAACTTCCTTATTGAGGCCTCGTCATGGAGTCTAAATGAGACTTTGTTGTGGTATAAACCTTGGTAATAAATACCGACAAGTTGGTTTAGAAAGACACGTAAGCAAACACTATAACATATTTATTAGAAAACGTTTCGGTCCTGGGACCTTGATCACTTCTAACATACAGAGGTAGGAAGACATTATATATAGGCGGAGAGTGAGGTGTGACGCACGTGACCTGAGGAATGTCATAAGAACATAAGAATGGAGGAACACTGTAGAAGGCCACTTTGTTGTATTCAAGTGGTGGTTTACTAATGTTTGTCAGGAGGAAGGTAGGGTAGTGGTCAGTAGTGCTGTGATTATCCCTGATTTAAGGGGGGCTAGTATATTGGTCCATATGTGGTCTATTATGGTTGCCCTTGTCTCAGTGAGCCTGGTTGGTTTAGTTATTGTTGGTATGAGAAGTGTGTTGTTCATATTGTTGATGAAATCAGTTACAGGCTGATCATCTAGTATGCCAAGGTTGATGTTGAAGTCTCCAGCTAAGAGAAGGTGGTGCTTATTCATTTGTCTGTTTGTTATTAGTGACTTTAATTTCTCACTGAAATTTGGGATGTTTGCGTGAGGTATCCGGTAAATGGCACCGATTGTTATAGGTGTCTTAAGGTTTTTTACAGTAAAATTAGCAAAAATGTATTCCCCATATTCATCACTAAAGCAAGTGGTGCTAATACAAGATAATTGGTTAGAGTAATAGATTGCAATACCACCCCCAACTTGGTTTGTTCTGCAGTTGTGAATTGCTGTGTATCCTGGTAGAGGGTAGATATCTATTGTGTCCTGCTTAAGCCAGGTCTCAGTAAGAATAATGCAGGAGAAGGGTGTCTTTAGTGATTCAAGGAGTGCCAGGAGGTCATCATAGTGCTTGCTTAAGGACCTGATGTTATAGTTAAGAACTGATAGACTTTGAGCAGTGTTCAGGATAGTGCTGGCTTGTGATGCTGTGTAATAAAGGCAGTTACTTTCCAATAGGTTTTGATTGGGTGTCAGATTATGGAGGTTTAGATCAGGGTCAACGTGATCAATCATCTTCTAGGTTTAAATTATGATTATTTATATCCTGAGTTGTGTGTTGAGTTCTAGTACTGATATCTGTAGTGGTGGGAAGTTTGGACAAGTATATAGCTAGAGTATTTTGGTCATATAGAGTATAGTCACTACTACACATAATGAAGTTGATGTTGTCTATGTGTTGTGCTGGAATAAACTAAAGTACAACTAGGTATAAACTAGTAATATAAAAATACAAATTAAAAATAGAACAAGACTCTCACTTGTAATTGCACTAAGGTCTAATATAATGACTTTTGTGGAGTCTATGTTTTGAGCTAGAATGAGCTATAGTACAACTAGGTTTAATCTAATAATATAAAAATACAAATTAAAAATAGCACCAGTCTCTCACTAGTAACTGCACTAAGGTCTAATATAGTGAATTTGGTATTGACTATGTATTGAGCTAGAATGAGCTATAGTACAACTGAGTTTAATCTAATAATATAAAAAAGGCACAAGACTCTCAATTGTAATTGCACTAAGGTGTTATACAAGTTGTTTACAAGAATAAGAGTATAACTAGATTTAAATTGACAGGATAAAATACACAAGTTAAGGTAGCAAAAGAATAATAAAAAAAAATGATGAAAATAAAAATGGCAATGACTTGGTTATAATATGCTAGTAAGATGGTAGACAGGATAATATAAAAGTTGTAGTTGAAAATACTAGTTTAAAAAAGTGTAGAATAAAAATGGTCAATAAAAGAAGTTTACAATAAGTTTGATCTAAATAGTTTAAAGCAAAATAGGGCAATAATAGGGATTTTAGAATGAAATTGGGCAATTGATAGATCAATAACAATCTTATCTTTGTTGTAAGTGAGAAACATCGCCTCTGAAAGATTGAAATTGATGAAAAAAAAAAACATTCTCAAGCTGCCGAATCAAAATCAATTTTTTTTTTAGGTGGTTTTGATGTTCGATGAATTTATTTTTCCCAGGCAACAACATGTATAGATATTTCTCGTTGTTTTATTATGTTTTTAACAATTTAGGGAAACTGAAGGAGTTTCATGCGATATTTGATGTTGTAGATGAATGGTTCAAAGAACCGATACGTTGATAAATTAGACACATGTGCAACTCTTAGGTATTATGTTCAAGATTGATGGACTGACCACATCGACTCAAGGTTGAGGGACTGATTACCTCATTCTCCTCCTGTTCTTCACGATTCTCCTTTGTATGGACTGATTAAGCCACTGTGTGGCGAAACGTTTCCTCAATAAAGATACCCAAGAATTGCACATGTGTCTGATTTATCATATTTGATATGTTTGAGGGCGTGGCAGTGCATGACACACGGAGTCATGCACTCTATGTTATGTCTGTTGTGTCTTGATTTTCTGAGTGTGTTAGTACATACGGTAAATATCTGCAGTGCTTGGGTTAAATTCCAGCTCCCGAGCCTCTTAAAGGTGTTAAATTACAATAGACTTTTTGTATTTGTTGAGCTCCAGCTTCTGGTTTTTTTGGATGGACTGATCTCTACCTCCTATCAGGGTAATAATGGCATACAATATGGAAAAGAAGAGGATTAGAAAGGCGTGTAAGGTGTTGAACACCGGTTTGCTGACTGAGGGACTGATTACCTCGTCTCCCACTCTTTAGTGTATATATTTCTGCAAGACTTATGAACCGATTATCTCATCGTCTGTCTTCGTGTATATTCGTATTAAGTGATAAAGCTGTAACTTCCCGTCTCTTGAAGCTGTGGAGGTACAACTGCCTCATGCAGGAGGTAGAGAGGGCTGGGGTTATGGGATGCGGGGAATACCTCTCTTGGATCACGCAGTGACTGAACAATCTACTATACTGTTAAAGATGGTACACCCTTCAAGGGAGGCGATTTTATACTCTCTCTGGGCTCCTGATCCAGGACGTTGAAGTTACCCCTTTCTTTCCCCGAATAAAACTTATTTGCTTCCTAGTTTCCATCTAGCATATGACCCCAACGAGTTTAGCGCTTCCCCAAGAATATAATGATAATGAGTGAAATACAGAAGAAATACAAGGCCCTTTCATCATTGTAAGTTGTTTCAGAGACAAGTTTCACTTTTTGTAATGAACAAGACACCAACATTACAAATTAAGATATGGAAACGTGAAACAACGTAAAAAAAAAATATACCGTCAGTGAAAAAGGAGAAAATTGGCAGAAAGAAAGCCGTGTTGGTCCGTTCCTTGAGCCTGTGGCTGTCAACACAAGTTTCACCTCACTGGGATCACCAATATCTTACCAAACTCCTTCACGCCTTCACCCTACATCATTTTTTTCATTTACCAGTCTAATTCTGTTTTAATGCTATTGTTTATAGATACGCAGCTTAAGCTAAACTAGCAGGCAAAATCAAATAAGAAGCTTTTTCTTAAGAAATTGGCAATTGGTAACTTCTTCTCACCTGAGTTACCTCCGTTGAAGAATTTCATTCAGTGCATCGACAAGACGTCTAGAGGGAGGGTGTGTTGCTTCTCTCCATGGACTAGAAAATACTACTGTGTGTGAACTGTGTAACTGTAAAGCATTATTCATCGTGACGTAGGCAGTACCCTAAGGTGCGACAACTATGGTGCTACTGTTGTCCTCTGCTGATGAACTGATGTAGCTAGTAGCAGCAGAAGCTATTAAGATGTGTGTGTGTGAGGGCTAGGTTATCGTGTTAAGAAACAAGTGGATAAAAAAATTGGCGAGAGTTCATCCTTGGAAAATATATCTCTGAGAGCTTCCCTTTGCACTGACGCCTGCAGAAATACCTTCTCAGAAAGGAATACGTCAGATTCTGCATTGTCAAATGTGCCCACGAAAAAGCAGCTGCAGCTCTGTGATATAAATTAAAAGGAACATAATTACTCCAGGATTTTGGATTACTTCGAGGGAGGAATTAACTACAGGACGCATGCAAACGTCCAATTTTATATTCCTTATCTACTTACACATATCTGTAGCGTCACAACTTATCTCCACAGATAACGAGGTGAGTGAAATTGTTTTGACATTGCTGCAGTGTGTGTATTGCCCATTGATTGTGAGTGCGCTTGTGTTCGTGAGCTGGAATATATGAGAGAAATTGTTACAACCATTCTCGAGGCGGGTCGAGTCAACTTGAGGGTGAGTTAGACCTGTCTAGTAAGAGCTAGTACACCTACTACACCATTCTGTTTTATGTTCTTATGCAGAACAGACATCAAAATAACATGACTATAACAATTCGCAACCCACAAATTGGAGATGACGTTTCGGTTCGTTTGGGTTTGAGAGTGGTGTAGGTACCTCGTAGCACAGTGGTAGTACGTTCGGCTCGACCGAAAATACATGGGTCGATCCCTGGGCGAGACGAAACGAATGGGCATAGCTAAGGGAGGATCAAACAACTACCCAATGAGAATCAGCACACTGATAATATAACAATAGTAATATCTTTATTTACTACAAGTATATGTACAAGGTATACAGGCCTAGCAGACATCAGTGACATACTACCATATAGAAAGCCGCCTGTTATACAGAGCATTTCGGGCAAATTAGGTCAATTTTGTCCCTAGGTTGCGTTCCACACCAGTCGATTAACACCCAGGTACCTATCTGCTGCTAGGTGAACAGGGATAGCAGGTATCTTAAGGACATATGCCCGAATGTTTCCACCCGTACTACGGATCGGACCACAGACCTCAAACCATACCACTGGCGGGGATAGAACCCGCGATCAGAGTCTCAAAACTCAAAACTGTCATTACGATTTCGTGAGTCACAGACCTCAGTGTGTGAGCCGAGTGTGTGAGCCGAGTGCGCTAGCGATCAAGCTACGCTTTCGTGAGTTATCAGATATTATCAGCCTTCAAGAGTGTTTATAATTCACTTAATCTTCTTCCAGGGCAAACTAAATTAGTTTCATCTCTAGAATGTGCGGGTTGTGACTGGTCAACTCTCCCTCATGACAGTAATAATAACTTGTGAATGGTCTCATGTAATAGTATCATTAATAATGAACCGCGAAGTAAAACTGTTTAGCAGTAGTGTCAAGTAACAACATTCTACTAAAGCATGATTCACGGAATAGCAAGCCAACACAATTGTTCTTGAAGAGTGCAGCGGGTAATTTCACGTTGGGAACAATGCGCAATAAGTGACAATAACACGCTTGAGCGACTGACCTGAGCCTTCTCCAGCTGCTCAAGCAGACTTTTGCTAGTTTAAACAAAATTGTATAATGGTTGCGAGAGACTTGTCTAGTGGCTCCGAATGACTTGTTAAATGGTTGCTTTTTGAGGTTTTATATATAATGTTATAGGTTACTTGTCGGCCATATTGGACGTGAAGCAGCACAACAGTGTGAGTATACCGCTTAGGTATATTACATTTCTCTCATCTTTATAAATTCTACGATGATTTCTGCTTGTGCTGCTGGACATATAAACTACAATAACTAGGATCTAACATTCTAATAATAATAATTATTATAATAATTATAATAATAATAATAATAGAATACAATTGTCTGTGCAGCGAATATTTAATATTTACATTATGTAAATTCTGTTATGTCATCATACCGACCTTGTTTGGTTATAAGTTTTGCTTAATTGATTAAAGTGGGTGGTATATGGTGCGTCAAACCTTCACATCGATTGATAGGGGGATGGATAATGATTTATTGGGTGTACACAGGTGGGTCCTTGAATTTGTTGATGTTTGCAGTTATGAGATGGCCTAGTGTAGCCCCAGGTAGTTAAGAAATAAAACTTTAGGAGCACTGCGGTAGGCCTACTAGTTGGAATGAGGCGGTACGCGAAAACTGAAAACTAACAGCTACAGAAAAAGCAGACCTTTACTTAAATACGACGTTTCACTTGAGTAAGGGTTTATCAATCATTTAACGATGACTCTTGTAAATGAAACGTTGTATTTAATAAAAAATGCTTTCCCGTATACTTGTTTTTGTTAGGTAAGACACATATGCAACAGTTAGATATCTTTATTTCGAAACGTTTCGCCTACACAGTAGGCTTCTTCAGTCGAGTACAGAAAAGTTGATAGAAGCAGAAGATACTTGAAGACGATGTAATCAGTCCATCACCCTTAAAGTTTTGAGGTGGTCAGTCCCTCAGTCTGGAGAAGAGCATTGTTCCGTTGTCTGAAACAATACTTGTTTTTCTTCTAGCAGCCTCAGATACTTGTTACAGACGTGGCCTTGACTCGTCAGGCCGTAAAAACACGACTGTCAACAACTCACGGAACTGACTGATTCATCTCCCATGGTAAGGCTGACCTAAAACTATCAAGCCAATATGGTAGTGTTTAGCGCTCTCCTGCCAGATTACGGACTAGCTTGCTATGGTTCCCTGTATACACTGTCTTAACGAAGGATAAAATGAGCAATGTGGGTACTTTCCATTCGATTCCTTTTCAAGTACATCGCCTGAGACGTGATCTACAATATATCTATCAGAGTGTGTTAATATTGGTAGAATTAAGTAAAAGGACACGTGTGCAACTCATGTGACATTTTATTGTGACAACGTTTCGCTCTCCAGGAGCTTTATCAAGCCATTAAAACAATACATGGACACAGAGGGTATATATAGGTTTTGAGTGAGGTGTAGTACTAGTGGAGGTAGTAGTAGTAGTGAAGATAGTAATAGTAGTGATACACATGGTGGAAAAGTCAGCTGGTACATAAGTAAAAAGGTTATAAAAGCGATGTACCAGTTGACTTATCCACCACGTGTATGACTGCTACTACTACTCCACTATTACTGCACCTCACTCAAAACCTATATATACCCTCTGTGTCCATGTATTGTTTGTAACTGCTTGACAAAGTTCCTGGAGAGCGAAAAGTTGCCACAAAATGTCAAATTAGTTGCACTTGCATCCTTTTACTTAAAATATTTCAAAGTGAGTGTGATATACACACTGCTATATTAGCATCCCCCAACTTTATATAACAGGTTGCAAGGCATCTGCTAACTTTTCAAATACTGTCAACAATTTAGACGCGATTAAGTTGTAAGTAACTATGACATGGCAGTTCGTCTTGTATAGAGACGCATGAGCCATCACCAGCCTCTCCTAATTATAAGTCAGGTTGTGCGCAGGATCCGTCAGGACTAACTTTACTTACAATGCATAAATACCTTGTACGTAGGAGAGAGAAAAACTTATGACGACGTTACCGTCCAACTTGGACCATTCACAAGTCAGACCGAAACGTCCGTCACTAGTGTGACTTGTGAATGATCCAAGTCGGACCGAAACGTCGTCCTAAGCTATTCTTTCTCCAGTGTGAGGGTTATTTGTGTGTTCCAATCTTTTTATTCTTCCAATAACTATTTTCTTTATTTTCGGTTTAATATTTAACCCAAGGTAACTCAAATGAAACTGTTTGGTTACTATTATCGGTAAGGTGATGTTTCAACTCATTGCGGCTGACTTATTTCTATAAAACTGGCTGAAAGTTATTTACATGCTAACTGTGTTTGTAAAATTATCTAGAAAAAGACACTCCCCATAGTAAGTTTATTTAGGCACAGGTACACACAAGTATAATTATCATATATTGGGTAAATTACCGAGGATAACCCAAAGAAGTCAGATAAGTGACTTATTTCCATTATACAGAATAACTGAAATGTCTATGAACAGTGAACCCTGGAATGGTTACTGTTTATTTGTGATTTTGACTACAAAATGTCATAATGTTTTCTTGTTTTGTAAAAATACGTGAGACGGGAACATTGAACTGTTAACACCAAGCTCTTAGAAAACGTGTCGCGTACTTTCTGGACGAGGTAGAACTATAGAAGACTCAGTTACTTAGAGAGTGGAGGTTACTAGTACCAGCTACGCAGAGAGTGGAGGTTACTAGTACCAGCTACGTAGAGAGTGGAGGTTACTAGTACCAGCTACGTAGAGAGTGGAGGTTACTAGTACCAGCTACGCAGAGAGTGGAGGTTACTAGTACCAGCTACGCAGAGAGTGGAGGTTACTAGTACCAGCTACGCGAGAGTGGAGGTTACTAGTACCAGCTACGCAGAGAGTGGGGGTTACTAGTACCAGCTACGCAGAGTGGAGGTTACTAGTACCAGCTACGCAGAGTGTGGAGGTTACTAGTACCAACTACGTAGAGAGTGGAGGTTACTAGTACCAGCTACGCAGAGTGGAGGTTACTAGTACCAGCTACGCAGAGAGTGGAGGTTACTAGTACCAGCTACGCAGAGTGGAGGTTACTAGTACCAGCTACATAGAGAGTGGAGGTTACTAGTACCAGCTACGCAGAGTGTGGAGGTTACTAGTACCAGCTACGCAGAGTGGAGGTTACTAGTACCAACTACGTAGAGAGTGGACGTTACCAGTACCAGCTACGTAGAGAGTGGAGGTTACTAGTGCCAGTGTTCCTCCTTTCTTACGTTCTTATGTACTAGACAGAAAGCTGTGAAAAAGTATAGTTTGTGTGTTACAATTTTGACTGACTTCTGAAAATGGTGGATCTTGTTTTTCTCTCTCCTGTGAATCATTGCATTTCTTAAAGAAGTGTTAATGTAAACAGGTGCGCCTACTCAGCTAGCTCCTTAAGTAGGCCAAAAAAAAAAAAAATACCTCCGATTATTAACTACCTTGTACGAGTAACCAAGGAAAGCCAAGTACTGTGGCTTATTTCCCCTGAGGTCCTCTCCAACTGCATACTACTGTGAGTATTGTTTCATCGTGGGTAGAATTCTTCCCTATTGTGCTTGCATAATTAAAATTTATTAGTACTGCAACACAACTCTTGTTCTTACCTAGTTGTATTTGCTTGGGTCGATTCATAACTCCTTGTTCCCACCTCCTCTCTCTTATCGACAGGTTTTGTTGATTGTTTTTAGCGTTCTGAGCCAGATCATATTTACTCTTGAAGCTGTGTATAGTGTCTACCTCTACCACCTCGTGTGCATTTGTTCATTCTACTCACTACCCTATGAGTGTAAAAAGTACTTCCTGTGGTTGTTATGGCTCATAACAACCCTTAGCTACTATGTGTGTTCCTTGTATTAACTGCTTTAATAAATTCAAGCCATACGAGCATAATGATTATTATTATTATTGTTATTATTATTATTATTAATGCATGA